AAAAATCTCTTTAGAGATAAAGCATCTATAGTGTAAATGTTTATTGCAAAAAAAAATTGGGGTCACTGAACTCGTTTGCGATATAAACACCATTAAACCCTGTTTTGCGGCCATTGCAAAACGTCTCTGTTGCCATAATAACGGGTGTTAGAGAAAAGTTCTGAATAGATTTTCGATTTAGATATATTTCCTGCAAAGTATATTATTAACTTTTAGCCTTCTAGCAAAGCATTTAAATGCCTAATAGCTCTGTTTAAAATATGAATAAAAAAAATTTGACGAACTGTATCAAGCCAAACTAAATTAATTACATATAATTACAATAGAATATAATTAAATCACATATAATTATGGAGGATCAATAATTAAGCAATCTAAAGAACAATTCTTGTGAATATTATTATTTGGGATATATACATACATGCTTTGGTTATAAACAGTGAAGGCTTAAATAAATCTTTGAATCGAGAAGTTTATCCAGTAATTATATGCAATTTAAGCTTGTGCCAGGTCAATGGCATCGCCAGCATCGATAAGTGGGGTGGACATATTCATATATTCATGTTGACAGACCGATAAAACAATCAATTTGAAAAGAAATGAATAATGTAAAACACGAGTATATAAATAAGTCCCCCACACTTATCAAGCTGGCGACGCCACTGGGCCAGGTGGCAGAGACAATCCAACCTCGTTCCCAGGGCCTTTTACCTTGATTCTGGTGGTGATTTCCTCTTCTTTCTCATAAAGTCCCAAAAGAACCTGGGAACGAGGTTGAGAGAAGACCCTGGAAGAGGTCATACTTGTGCTCTCAATTAAAAGTGTGTAAGGGGTTATATGCATTACCTTGTTTCGTGAGTAAGAAAACAATTTTAGAGCTACAAATACGACTGAAAATGCGCACTTTTGTAATTTTTTCATTGGAGGTCTTTTATTGGTTATCAAAAAATGGCTAAAAGAGCGTCACATATTTTCCGGACAGTCCCAGTCTCGTTGTAACCGCAGTTTCATTAAACGCTGCCTTCTAATGATGCAAATAACGCAAAGATAACAATTTTGTTCATGCTAATATAGAAAAAGTATAATTATGATGCAGAAAGGTAATAATCTAGAAATTCATATTTGAATATAAGAATTTAAACGACTGTGCGTAGAGCGTATGAATTCAGAAGGCGGGGGTCGAACTCCGAGCAGATTTGTTGTGACTCATGACAAACAGATTTATTATTGTAAATTACCAACATGTTACCATATGATTGTTACGACTACGTAAAAAAATATTTGTTGCTTTTATTTTCGCTCTCTAAGCTAGTACCTTTTGCAAAGCACATTTATATTCACGATCTTTTGTTTCTGTGCGTGACTTTAGAGGGAAAAAGATTATTTAATTTAACATAGCCTCATAGAGTAATAAGTTTCAAAGTCCGTATTTCAGACAAAAATATGAAGATTGCGCCAAATGCCAAAAGGAATAACATGCAGTTGCGCCGAATACCACAGTTATGCAAAATACCATGGACATCTATTTTCAGCTTGGCATTTGGGACAATAAAATTGATGCAGTAGTTTTAAAAGCAAAAACGGATATTTCACAACGAATAAACACAAAGTAGATATTGGTTACACACAGTTTTACATTTTAAGACGGTATCAGACACTACAGAACTAAAATTTAAGAAAAAAATCAAATTTCACATGATTGTGCTAAATGCCAACAATCTATAGATAGATAGATAGATAGATAGATAGATAGATAGATAGATAGATAGATAGATAGATAGATAGATAGATAGATAGATAGATAGATAGATAGATAGATAGATAGATAGATAGATAGATAGATAGATAGATAGATAGATAGATAGATAGATATAGATAGATAGATAGATAGATACATAGATACATAGATAGATAATAGATAGATAGATAGATACATAGATAGATAGATAGATAGATACATAGATAGATAGATAGATAGATAGATAGATAGATAGATAGATAGATAGATAGATAGATAGATAGATAGATAGATAGATAGATAGATAGATAGATAGATAGATAGATAGATAGATAGATAGATAGATAGATAGATAGATAGATAGATAGATAGATAGATAGATAGATAGATAGATAGATAGATAGATAGATAGATAGATAGATAGATAGATAGATAGATAGATAGATAGATAGATAGATAGATAGATAGATAGATAGATAGATAGATAGATAGATAGATAGATAGATAGATAGATAGATAGATAGATAGATAGATAGATAGATAGATAGATAGATAGATAGATAGATAGATAGATAGATAGATAGATAGATAGATAGATAGATAGATAGATAGATAGATAGATAGATAGATAGATAGATAGATAGATAGATAGATAGATAGATAGATAGATAGATAGATAGATAGATAGATAGATAGATAGATAGATAGATAGATAGATAGATAGATAGATAGATAGATAGATAGATAGATAGATAGATAGATAGATAGATAGATAGATAGATAGATAGATAGATAGATAGATAGATAGATAGATAGATAGATAGATAGATAGATAGATAGATAGATAGATAGATAGATAGATAGATAGATAGATAGATAGATAGAATAGATAGATAGATACATAGATAGATAGATAGATAGATAGATAGATAGATAGATAGATAGATAGATAGATAGATAGATAGATAGATAGATAGATAGATAGATAGATAGATAGATAGATAGATAGATAGTTAGATTGTTGGTTGGCATTTGGCATAATTTCATGGCATTTGGCATTATCATTGTGCTAAATGCCATGGCATTTGGCATAATGACTATGGCATTTGGCATAATCTCCATGGTATTTGGCACAATGCTAACATTGTGCCAAATACCATGGCATTTAGCACAAATTTTATGGCATTAAGCACAATTGCTATGGTATTTAGCACAATTTGATGGTATTTGGCACTATGTTGTGCGAAATGCCATGTCATTTAGGGGAATCTGAAATTGGTTCCATTTTTTCCTGTTTCTTACTGCTTTTCGATGTTTTTATATACTTATTGGTTTGTATTTTTATTACCCCAGTATTCACTCTCTTTTTACTAATTGAGGCTTTTCTTGTATATAACTGTTTTTTATACAGTTGTTTAATCCCTGTATTTTATTTTTCATCCTTTTTTGTATTTTTTTTTAAATATTCTTACGGCCATTTTTGTTTTTACTTTAACCTTGTTTTTTACTGCATTGTGAAGGTATTCACTTTTTTTTAGTCCTAGTTTTTACCCTGTTTGAACTTTCTCACTCTATTCATGGTGTTTACATTTTTAACTGATTTTTTCAAAACTTTTAACTGTTCCCTCCCCCTTCTATGCTGTGGAGTACCATTCCTTACTTTTTAGTATGTATTTCGTTTTAAGCGAAATAGCTTAGAATCGAAATCCGTCAGGCAGAACTGAATATATGAATAATTCACCCTTCCAATTATCGTTCTAGTTACGGCCCTGGCTGCGATGCTGTTCCCTACCTCAGGCATGTATATAGTATCTAATTACCTAAGTTTGTGGATAAAAGTTTACTTTCAATACACACGTTTAAACCAATTCACTACATTTAAAAATGCGTTTTTTTCATTATGCTGTTTCAATATCGAATGCCTGTGGGTATTGAAAAATTATTGTTTCAGAACAGGTACAAGCGAGTTTGAGCAAGGAAAGGAAGTACGAAGAGGAAGACTTGTTTTGGCCGAGGTAGACTGGGAATAGTAGTCTTCGTCTTAAGTCTTCGTGCAGCAGGATATTTGAATTTAGCAGTTCTGTCAAAGTTATACGACTACGAACACGGTACTAATTTTTTAAACATGAACAGAGCTGAATACCAGATGGCTATTTTAGCAATGTTTTTAGAAGATGCTTTGGAAGTGGAAGATGTTATGCTTCTTTACGATTTGAAAATCTCAAACAACATTTATATTCCATACAAGAACTATTCAAGATTTGGCTTGAATATATCTTACTTTGAAAACTTCGTTCTGACCACAACGAACTTTGTCACAAGCGATCCTAGTAAACTGAATTTAAAAATAGTCAAAACAAAACATTAGCATTTAACTTTAAGTGCCTTTTTTATTTTTTACTAAAAAACAAGAAATGCTTTAATTGTTACAAATTGCATTGGTAATTACAACCTGGTAAAGTAAATTCAACTTCTTTTAAACTAAAAGCAAGTTGTCCATAGGCCTATTTGTAAATTAGGAAAAATCACTTGCAAATGATAGTCCCCTGTCACACCTCTCAAAGGCACGTTGTCGTAAGATTATTTTATGTAATTTTAAGATACAATTGAATTCGGCATGACTAAGTAATGGTTACAGAATAATCACGTCTCCATGAGATATATAGAATCCCGAGAATTAGGTAAAAGATCACCAGGGGCCTTTGGCTCCCAGTATCATTTATCGTAATCAGACCACTCTAAATTAATTAAATGGAATTTAATGAATTCCCTACACTATGAGAGATATATAAAGCATGCAAATACTGGCAGCTGATTAGCCGAGTGAAGGTAGCTATTCTCTAACGCATCACGTAATTATTATCCTATTAAGTTGTATTACATGATGTTCACTTGAAATTAGCATATTTCCCGTCCCTATCGCAGCGTTTTACTTTATTTATAAGCTGTATTTGGCTGTACTTTTCTGTAAGTCCTAACTCTTTGCAGACCTTGTCATTGATAATACATTTCCAAATTGCGTCATCGCTGAGATTGCCTTTACGTTGGAGGTCTATTGTCGCCTGTAAAACTGCTGCTGTCTCTTTTGCCAAAAAATATATTTTCTTCTTTGGACTTTTTTTGGACTAAACCGCCTTGCTACAGTACGAAATAATTGAGAAACTGATTAGGTTAAGCATTCATTGGTTGGGGAAAATACGAGAGGATTGAGCTTTTGGAATTCAGAGGAGCAAATTATTTTCCTATCATACAAATCACACACTCAAGACTTACATGCCAGTTGCATTCGCACACTTCGCAAAGGTTTCTTCGGCGATATTTTCGCACGTTTAACAGGCCTCCATTGTTGTTGCATCAAACGTTTTTCTGAGACAAAGAGATTGAGGTATAAGAAAATAAAAAAGGGACAACACAATCACCATTCAAACGTCATTCAAAGCAATGTAGAACTAAATTATTTATGTTTATGGATCACATTTAATATACCGGTAGCTATTATTACAGTCCCTATGTATCTGTTTTCAGCCAGTATCTTACTTTTTTCAGGACTTCTTCCCTCCACTTTTTCCGGACTTTTTTCTGGACTCGAATGACTGTCTTCCGGACTTTTTTCAGGGCTTTGTTCAATAAATTTTGGGTCATTTTCTCCTGGATGTTTTTCAACACCTTTTTCAGGGGTAGTTGTGGCGACATATCGTAGAAAATTTGATACTTTTGCACGACCTTGGGAAAAGAAATGATTTCATCAGAGTGATTTATGCAAGAAAAAATATGGCAACTTCCATATGTGATTTGAATAATATGTTAATATGCAAACTTACTGTGCAAACTGCTTGTTACATAAACGTCTACTACAAACGTCTTAATTAAACTTCAGGTTTTGAACTGTTTCTTTCTATGTCCCATCTTAGTTTTTAAAAGGAAGATTCCCTATTCATGAAATAAAAAAAAAATTAATTACCTTTTACTGCATCTCTCATGGCGTAATGTCCTTCAGCGGTCGATGTGGAATGAGACATTTGCCGGGCAAGTTCATGCTTGGAAAGACCACCAGATTTGCCTGATTCAGCAACTTGTCTATGGCGGGACACCGCCGACTTTCGTATTCGTTTTCCAGTAACAGTTCCAGAAATAGACGGGTCAAGCATTTTAACCACCTTTGTAACCCTGGTTGAAATTTGCGAAGAAGGTAGAGGATTCCCTCTCACTGTCAAGAAGAAGAGTGGTTCTTTTTCTTTTTTGCCTTTTTGCTGAAGAAACGAATTGTTATTTGCAACAGCAGGTCTTAGTTTCTCCAAATAAATCACACCGCATTTGTAAGTACGCTCATCCCAGGACAGACTTGCTGGCCCCGTTCCTTAAAAAGATAGTGAAAATTTTTTTTTATATCAGTTACGTGTGTAGAGACACCGATATAATTTAAGATGCACATGTAAAAAGTGTTAACAAGATATGTTTAAACAAACTCAGGTATTCTGACCAAACCTGTTTCTCACCTGCTGTCTTATGCCGCTTGGTCAATGTGACAAATTGTTTAACACCGGTGCTAACATCCCACTCACCAGCTTCAAACTCATTTAGAGTTAAATTGCACACAGCCCCAGGGCGTTGAGCACTTTGAAGAAGGAGCATGGTTATTAAATAGTCCCGGAGCTCGACAAACTCTACTTCTGGATTGATAACCCCAACAAATCTTGCCTCAAATTGTTCATGCAGAGGTGAATTGAATAGATTCCACATTTGGGAACTTGTGAAAAGTGACCCAAAATCTTCACGATGTACTTCGGTTCTTCTATTGGCTGACTCCTCCGTAAATGATTTCATCCAATTAGATACTCTGCCTTTAAATTCTTTTACCAATTCAAAATCCTTTTCCACCAAACCAAACTCATTAATCAAACTTGATGCTCGGGTTAACAAAAAGTTATAGAATGTTAGTAAAGCGGTAAGATATGCCCTAAGCGTGCCTACTTTCCTGGGTTTTGTTAAATGATGATTGCCTTCAATGAAGGCACTACGTATGTGGACCATAGCATCGTCGTTCCACAGAAGGTTCACATTTGTTAATGTTTCGTCCACTTCATAGAGAAGTCGGCCAACTCGCCATTGGGCTTCCTTTGAAGGTTTTTCACCTCGGCGACCTCCTTCAACCGATAATAAATGTTTAAGGAAACGATCAAGAAGTGGTTGTGTTTCACACACTTTTGCTATTGAGCTTCTTGGAATTTCTTTAGGCACAATTTCCTCTACATTAATCTCTGCAGTAGCGTCTGAGTGCTCACGGTCCGAGATCTGATCAGCTGATCGGCTGTGCGAGGATTCATCGGAAGAGTCTTGACTCGGAATATAATCCTCAGAAGAGTAATGTTGTGGGGAAGAACTATCCGAAGAACGCTTTTTCGGTGATGAAACTTCAGGAGTGATTTCCTCTATGTGTAGCCTACGTTTAACTGATCTGCTCCTGGAGGGACGAGGGTCTGGAACCCTTTTTTTAAGTGTCATCTTTTTTCTGCTGTTTGTCGAGCTTTTTATTATCGTTCTCCTTCTTTAACTTTTGAGCTTCTGTATTATACCTAAATAAAAGTATATCGAATCAATTTAATTGAGTATAAATGGGAAATGTAATTCACTGGGACTGATACAGTCTTAAATATATTTAAGTCTGTCAGCTCAAAGTCAAAAAGAGAGGGTTATGACTTTTTTGCGTTTTCGAAATATGTTTTAGAAAAATGTCAAATATAGTTAAATTAAATATAAGAAAGAGCACATTGAGAGCATATTGACTGAGTTAATAGAGTGTACATTATATGGGCGTTTGTATTGATAAAAAACAGCAAATTTAATGGAAATGAATATCTAAACTCACCGTATAAAACTTGGTGATCCAGGTTGAAGTTTATGAACGGTTTTGAGGTGTTTATCAAGTCGTTGTACAGGTTTTTTGCACGATTCAATTGGACATTCCACTCGATTTAAAACAGTTTTTGAATCCTGTTTAGTCTTCCTCATAGCTTGTGATAAATTAAGAGCTTCTCTATGATCCTTCTTGTGTACTCTCTTTAGATGGCTAACCATATCAGCCTTGCTCTGACCACACAATGGGCATTCTCGCTTTTCTTTAGCCTAAGAATGATTGAGATCACCTTATACATCTGCCACAACGGTAATAAAAAGTCTTTGAATGCTCTAAGTCTATTGGACACAAAGTTTTCTAAACTTAGGAAGCTACTCAAAAGTAATTTTCGATTATGATAACTGGACAACATACTTATGTATACTCATATAGATACTTGTTAAATATACAGGCCTTTGCATCCAACTGGCAGCGAGTAGAGGTTGACTGTAGTTTGATATATATACTATTAATATATTGGTTCCTTATTTCAATGGTACATACCCATTTTCTAATGCTTGCATGTTCTTCGTCGTCCTTCCCATTACCTTCCTTGGCACTGCTTTCTCCTAAATCTTCTTCTGGTTTAGGTCCTTTACTAGAACCCTCCTCATCAGAAATAACAAGTTCTGGGCTTTCTTTGTAGTCTAAACTTCTTTGTTCATTGATAAATTGAATATCAGCCACTTCCAATTCATCAATAGCCAGTTCAAGCTCATCAATAGTGCATTGAAGTTCAGTCTAAACAAGAAAATAACAGATGCATCTAATTCAAGTTGAATTGATTCGTCACTCTCCTTATATAGCTGCTGCAAAGCATGTCATACCGTCCTTTCCATAGGAATAAATAAAAGCAAATTCAGTTTTATCAACTCCGAGTCATCCTTGTGAGTGTAAGTTGGTGCTACCCTTGGATAGGGTGGTGTCATTACCTAGAAAAAACAAATCCTGACTTTGTTGAAATTTTCACTGGACTAGAATGGGTGCCCTTCAATAATAAAACTAAACCAATGCTTGAATTGTAAAAAAACATTTATGGATCCAGAAATGCATCAGCTAAAATCCTTGGTCTACTAAGGCAGTGGAGAATATATTTTGCTCATTTCTGAAATATAAAATGTTCGTTTCTGAAATATGAAATGTTTTAACATGGTTTCTGAAATGGTTTATAACCATATCTTCATCAATAATCAATATTTTTGAAAGCTTTTCACTGCATTGTCTCCTTTTATCTTTTTCGGAAAACGCATGCACGTGCGCTGGCTGAGCCCGGTTATTCTCGACAAATACTTATATAACTGGCTTCCTCATTTTTTCTCTTGAGAAGGCTATTTGAGTATATTTAACTATACTTTTATTATAACTATACTACCCCCTATATTATTGCTGCAGACCAATGGAATTAATTACTAAAGTTCAGTGCAGTTATACCCGTAACGAAAAAATTAGCTGACTCGTATTTTGCCGTTGTATTTCATTAGCCAGAATAAGTGATATAAAAATGAATATAAAATCAGTAAAATGCTTGAATAACTTATTGCTTACCTTTTCCACAATATCATGCATCTTAACAATACGGCTTTTCACAAAATCCAACTTGCTCGGCGGAAAAATATATCTGTAAAGTGTTCGACACAACATTTCGCATAAAATATAAGTACGGTCACCAATGAAATATCGTTCTCTATGCTGTTCAGAACAGACTGCTTAAAGACTATGATGGAAGGGTATTTATATTATATGGGAATACAAACTGTTATGTAAACGTAATACATTATCTTATTGTTGATGCACACGGAAATAGGTGTGTAAAGGATGCAGATTAGGATGTGGGATATTGGCGGTTTTTATTACGTAGTTATTCTAACCTTCGATGAAAAACATAAAGCTACATCCCCTGACATATCTTAACTTGTTTTAGTCCTTTTTACACGCAGTATTAATTTAGCTATCACCCACAACATGCAATATCATTCTGTCTAGTTTCTATCTTTGTACTCTTGTGAGTTGTGAGGTTTTAATAAATCCAGTTTATATTTGTTTAAATAAATCCAGAATAATTGTTTTGGTGTTTTCTTAAGCAAGTTTGTTGTTGTTCCTAAAATAATTTAATATAAAATTACGCAAAATAACTGCTTCTAAATTGCATGCTGGAAATTATTGCGGTTTAATGACATGCATTTGCTCAGAAAAGATCCATCTTCAGTTTTCATTTCAATATGCTAATGAAATAAAGCTGACTTTGTAAGCTTTTTGTATTGTGTTTAAAATTTGAAAATACGTGCGAAATAGCACGTAATTTTGTGTTGCGGTATGTATGTTTTTATTGCGCGTTAATTAATTTAAATGGTTTGACTAAACAGATTGCTTTATAAAATGCGTTAATAGGGTCATGACTTTTAAGTGGTTTTTAATTACAATCTAAATACGATAGTATGTTCAGTACTGGCCGTGGAACATCGTTAGATGGGGGGGCTACTGTACTGTTAATATTTTCAAGTTCAGGTTTATTTGTTTCTTTTCAAATTGTTCTTTTTTACGGTCTGTTAACATGAATTTTAGCACACACACGCACATTTAAGATCACCCTCGGCCATTGATGTTTGTATGTTGATTGACAATCAATCTTTTACTGATATGCCTTAAAACAATGGCTAGCGCATTCTATAGTAGCCTAGTGCTACCGTAATTCAGGAATGCCGCTTTTACTGAAATGGTAACTAAATAGAAACTCTAATATATATATTTCACTGTAAAGAAACTTGTTAAATTTGTAAACACCAAATAGTCCTTTTTCTCAAGTGTCATCACTCTCAAATTTAAAGGGCGTAATGCAAATGCGATTGATCTTAATCCCTATAATGTAAGCATGCAAATACTTCATTCAGAAATTCCGTAGTTACTTGTGTATGTCTAAACTATAAGACGAAATAGACAATCTTAGCGCTTCACATAAACTTATTGCAAAGTTGTCTCTATTCGACCCTTAGGGCAGAGTCTAAAAAGATATAGACATGGTTTGTCTTAATATTAAGTATAGGATAATGTTGAATCCGGATACTATAAAAATCAGCAGTGGTAAAAAATCTGCAGGGGCCGGTTGTATCAAGCCCGTTTAGCTTAAACGGTGGTTAAGCTCAAAATAGAAAGCAAGTCTATTGCTTTATTCACTAAATCAGTCTAAATGTTTTTAAACCTTAATATCGAGATATTGTTTTCAATTGCATATTTAGTGCATAATATTCAAGTTGACTC